AAAAGTAATTGAAGTTTCAAGCGATTCTGATTGAAGATTATTTGGCTTTAAGTGAAAGACGAAGGATTTTATATGCTTTTAAAATTTTTTAGTTATTTAACAAAAGGGTTTAAAGGCTAACCGAATCACTTGCTACAGACATTTCCGGCCCATGCCTATTTTAAAATTTATACAACGAAAAAAAATTCTAAAAAAAGAAACTAAAGAAACATATGTAGTGTCAATGTAGGGTCAAGCCGGAAATGTAGGGTCAACCATCGTTTGGAAATTCGTGCCAAAATCGAGTCTATATACGGGTCAAAATTAAAAAAAAATTTAACAGTCAATATTTTACAAGATTAAAATTTCCAAACACTTGCTGAAAATGTTTCGCATATTTTTAATTCATTTAAAAACTAACATACAATTCATGTGATTTTATATTTAAATTTGGGATTTTAAGCATAAATATATTCATTTTAATTTGTTTAGTCAAAATCGTTCCGATAATGTCAAGAACTGTCGTTACCCGTACCGGTGGACCCAAATTACTGATACCGAAAAGTACCCAAGAAATATTTTCGGTAGTACCGCGGTACTCAAAATGATTCTGTGTTCTGATTTGGTTGTATACTGCAATGCAGTTATTAATTCATCGCCTTAGAATTGCTCAAATTGAAAATAATTTGACCATTTCGAGCATTTTGGTCATGTTGGCCATTTTAATTAGACGGATATATCCGCGGGTACCCACTGATGGATATGACTCGAAGTTGCACGGATATAAACAAATACGGATATTTGCTCCACAGATATATACGGACAAGGATAGCAAAATCCGAGTCCATGTGCATGTCTGTGTATAACACCATAATAACATCGGTTATTTGAAAACTTAAATAAAGACTGAACTTTTGAGAAAAACGGTTATATCTGCATGTTCTAAATTACACATGATAATTATTTGAGATGTTTTTTTTATTTTTTGCAATCAGGTTATGATGAAATAATAAAAAAAAACACTGTTTTACCGTTTAGAGGTCTTTTCAAGTTAATAGAGCCTTAAAAGTTTAATAGAGCCTTAAAAGTTTTCTCAAATTTAATTTTAATATAAATCTCTAATACTCTCATAAATACTTAATTCTTTAACATTTACGTGTCATTGAACTAATTTCCAACCTTTAAAATCATTAAAAAATTTTTCAAAAAGCTAATGTCTTTCACTCAATAGTTTAGTATTAAAATACTTAATTTGTTTAAAATTTAATTCATTATTTACATATAAATACCGTATTCTTGAAATAGTACTCCAAGAGTGCTATTTTTCAACCTCTTATTATTTGTAATAGTGTTGCACGAGGTTAATAATAGGAGGAGGGTTGAAAAATAGCACTCTTGGAGTGAAAGACATTAGCGATTTAAAAATTTTTTTTAATGATTTTAAAGGTTGGAAATTAGTTCAATGACACGTAAATGTTAAAGAATTATGGAAGTATTTATGAGAGTATTAGAGATTTATATTAAAATTAAATTTGAGACGTTAGCTTTGCACTCTTAATCATAATAGGTATTTGTAATACCCTTTGATTAAAATAAGAGACATTTAGTGAATGATTTTTTATGGTAGGTGTTTTGACTAGAGTTTGAAAAAACAATACTGGTATCGGCCAGCCCGATACCGAGATTGACCGATACTCAAGAACACGATAACGAGACCGATATCTTCATTTTGAGCCGAGACCGATACCGAGAAACGATACTGACCGAGACTAACAGAAATTTTTATTTTATATCAGAAAATACGTGTAAAAATTATTTATTCATTATTTTCATCATCCAAATCATCAGATAAATACTCTTCATCATCTGGATCAGATTCGATTGATAATGCCAAATAAATTTTATCCATATTTGCCTTCAATACAAATATTTTTTTCAAGTCCCCAACATTTAATATCTCTTAATCCCCAAACTTGAATGTAAGCCGAGAATCTCGGTATCGGTCTTGTCTTTTCCAACTCTAATTAAGAGTGCAAAGCTAACGTCTCAAATTTAATTTTAACATATGTAAATCTCTAATACTATCATAAATACTTAATTCTTTAACAGTTACGTGTTATTGAACTAATTTCCAACCTTTAAAATCATTAAAAAAATTTTCAAAAAGCTAATGTCTCTCAATCAATAGTTTATAAAATACAAAATTTTTATAAAATTTATTCATTTTTTATAAAAAAATTATTAAAATCAAAATTTAATTTTAAATAATATTTCCACATTATAATTTAAATATAATTAATATAGTAATCTAAATATAAAAAAATAAAGTAATTTAATTCCCAAAAATATGCAGGAGTCGGTGTGATGCTTGATTGCTCTTATTAGTCAAATAAACTGCAATTTTTAAAACTGATTACTTTAAACAGACATGCTCACGGATACTGATCTTGGTATCCGTATCCGGATATTTAGATGCAGGCATTTTGATAGTTATCTGTATCCATATCCGTATCCATGAGCAGGATACGGATTTGTATACAGATTTATATGGATACAGACAGACCTCGGTTTTTGGGTAATACAATTTTAAAATACCCGGTTTTGGGTTTGAGTTTTATACAACTACCGGTTTTATTTTGTGGGAATTTATAATAAAATCACTGATTTTCAAAAATTCCGGTTTCAAAAACGGCTGTGCCAAACGTATTTATTATTTAGTTCACTTCCACAGGTAAAATGAACATACTTAAAAGTTGAATAATTAAAGTGGAAAAATTATTAATTTAAGTTTTTTCATGCGATATCAATGTTCTTGTGATAAAATTTTGATTACTAATTTAAAAAAAGTCAACCTATAATTTAAAAATAGTTGAAAAATAGAGCCCCATGGGGCTTTATTTTAGGAAATACGATAAGCAATTTACTAAACAAAATTTGTTTAATTAAAAAGTAATTTTTCTATAGAAAAATAAACTAAATCTATGAAAATTTCAAAAGCTTTACTGCTTTGTTGTATTATTTCACCAATTATTTGTCCTCCCCGTAAAAGAGGAAAAGCAGGTAGAGGTGCTAATCAAGGACAGGAAAATCCAACTGAAGAAAGGCAAAGGCCAGATATTTACGAATATCGAGATGTTGAAGGAAGCACTGGAACAGGGACTGGAACAGGCGAACGTGACGTTGCTAGTTCTAATTTTCCTAGCTCTCAGGGTGAAATTAATTTCAATTTTCCTCAAAATCTTCAAGGTTTCGAAACTAGTTTCGGAAATAATCCATTCTTTTTTCAACAACAAATGCCTCAACAAAATATTGACCCTTATGGTGGACAACATTTTAAAGGCGAAGAAGCTAGAAAGAAAAATTATTATGGAAAAGATTGTAATTAATTAATCAAACAAATGGATTGGGATCATTAGGGCGCCGCCACTAGGGTCGTTTTCGAGCCACAGTGAAAATTTAATTGTTCCCGTTCTCGGTATAACTTGAAACACTTCCTCCGTTGACGGACCAACATTACAAGTTCTGTTCAAGACGGTGTAAGTTGGTGTTCGAAACCTATTGTACGGAACAACTTCCCCTGTGTTCTGAACTCCGTATCTGGAGTTCAGAACACAGTTAAAATTTAATTGTTTCCGTTCACGGAACAACTTCACCCGTTTCGAGATAACTTGGAACACTTCCCGGACCAACTTCACGAGTTATGTTCAAGACGGGGGAAGTTGGTGTTCGGAACCTAGTGTACGGAACAACTTCCCCAGTGTTCTGAACTCCATATCTGGAGTCGTCCTAAGTCGCCCTAATGGCCGCGCCTAATGTCCCAGTCCCAAATAAAATCTTTAATTAAAATTATTTAAAAAATTAGGCCGTCAATGGATTGAGTTTCTAGATCCAAGCAATGATAGATATGAAATAGTTAAAGCAGACAAGGATGTTTGTGATATATATTGCAAAATATGCGATAAAATCCTCGTATGTATACAGTATTTTCTCTTATTGAGGGCTTTATATTTGAACGTTTCAATTAGAGTACGTCGAGTACCGAGTAAGTGGGAAAAACCGAGTTCGAGTAATGCTGAGTTTGAAAACCCCGAGTCAACTTTTTATGCCGAGCAAAATTTCTTCCTTTTTCAGCACCACAGGCGAAAATTTTAGAAATTTGGAAGATCCTTAAGCCAAAAATTTTCCTTTTTGTGCCGCAGATAGCGGAATAAAAATACTCGGTTTTAACCGAGTCCGTCGTGTAAGAAGTTTCCAAGTACGAGTAATGCAGAGTATTAGGATCCCGAGTTCCGGGCCCGAGTAAATGCAAAAAAACCCGAGCGGTCGAGTCGATTAAACTCGAGCGCGATCGACTCGGACGTACTCTAGTTTCAATAGAGCGGCAAGGGGTTGAAAAATTGAGTAGAGAAAAACAGGGTACACGACTAATTGGATCTATTTTAAGTAGCTGTATTGTAGGAAAGTAAATTTTTTAAATATTAGAAATACCGTATTGTCTCTAATGTAAGCCCTGGGCGTCTATTTTTCAATACCCCTCATTGGGTGGACTTCTAATAGGCATGGACTTCTATTGTTTCTATTAGACTTCTATTAGAGACAATACGGTATATTAAAAAATTAAAGAATGTAAATGATGGCCGCAAACTTAACGCACACAATAAATCACATAACCGATTGATAAAGAATGAGCGTGGTCATGGGAACGGTAAAATAATCTCTATTTAAATGTTTCCCAATCTTTATAAAAAGTGAAATTTTTATTAACGTTTTAGGATATTTTGCCTATTTCTCTTAATTTATAAGGCAGTGCAGTAGGCGGCGTGGTGTAATAGCTAACACATCAGTCCAGTCTACTGAAGATGCTGGTTCGCTCCCAGCCGCCGATTAACATTTTGCACTAGCTAAAGGAGAGAAATAGCTATAGCACAGCTGCTTTACTACATTCAATTGCAATAAAATTAAATATATTTACAGATCTTCAGAATGTGATAGATCGCTTAGAAAAATGGAAAAACGCATTAGGTGAAAAAGGAAAATGTTTTTCGGTTAATAAAAAAGCGGGAATGCTCGAGTGTGAAGCTTGTAAAGCATATGGATACCAATTTGACGTTATTTCTAATAAATCAGCATTTAATAATATTTTAAATTTTAAGTTATCGCCAAAATACCCTAGAGCAATAAGAACTCATATTGAAAGTGAAATTCATACAAAAAGCACAAAATGTAAGGCATATTAAATATGGAAAATTAAATTTGAGAATTGAATAACTAAAATTTTTATAAAGTATACGTAAAATCAACCTTCTTAACAATTACAAAAGATAAGATGTACATAACTCCATTTTTAGATTCTCCTATGTAGGATTCTCCTTTTAGATTCTCTTATGTTTTAGATTCTCCTATCTATTTCCACTTGAAAACCAGATCGGAGCGACTATTTTCGAATTTAATATTTATAAAAATAAATTACAAATTGATAAGAATTTTAATTAAAGTACTACAACAACGTGAAGAACAAGCTGTGAGAGAACAACATATAGCTAATACAATGAGAGAAATATTTGGTGATGAAGATATTCCAACTGGTATATGTTTGGATATCGTATCCGGATTTGGATCTCCATAATTTTTTAGGAATCCGATTCCCTGCCCTTTTTTAACTATCGAACGCTAAAATCAAAAGGGCCAAAGGATACTCACCAAAAATCTTCACTCTTTGGAAGATTGAAAATATTCATTTAAAAGAAAATCTAGCTGTTCAATAACTTTAACTTAATCCTTGCCCATTAATTCTTTAGTCATTTTCTTATCCAAGTGAAATTAGACATGAAAACATAAGAAGGAAAGGAAGGGAAAAGGGAGAATAAAAAATGGCTCCCCCATATCTTGCCAAATCCGTATCTTGCCAAACCCATATTTTGCCAATAGGGGTCAAAACCCATATCTTGCCAAGAATACTAAAATCCCATATCTTGCCAATAAGGGCAAAATCCTTAAAACTTGCCAATAAAAGTAAAAGAGGTAGGGGTCATTTGAGTACCAGCCGGTTGAGTATCGGCCAGTTGAGTACCGCCGGTTAAGTACAAATATATTTTTTCCGGAATCCTTTTTCCGGACGACATTTTTCCGGAAACCATTTCCGGAATCATCTTACCTGGATTTACCGGATTGGCAAGTTATTGGCAAGTTTTAAGGCAAGTTTTAAGATTATTGGCAAGTTTTAAAGATTTTGCCCTTATTGGCAAGATATGGGGTTTTAGTATTATTGGCAAGATATGGGTTTGGCAAGATATGAATTGGCGGGATATGCATTTTTGCCCCTGTTGGCAAGATATGGAATTTTGCCCTTATTGGCAAGATATGGGTTTTTAGCCCTATTGGCAAGTTATGAAATTGGCAAGATATGCGGGCGCGTAAAAAATAAACAAGAGTACCGAAATTTTTTGAATTTTAGAAGGCCAAGAAGACAGAAATCCTCCGTTTTCTGACAAATCAAATAGAATGGAGGAAGCCTCAAAAATGGTTAATTTTGAAATTAAAATTGAGGATAATGCTGTAGTGCTTGTATCGGTGAATGGGTTCTAATCGTTACTTGAATTAGGGCCTGCTTCGTAAATTTTGACAAGATGCCGCCAAGTATATGTAGCCGTCGATCCAGGAAATTGGCTCTTTCGTTTTTGTTAGGGTTACTGATGCCTACGAGCCGGGGAGAACCCCTAAATCCCGTAATTTGGTTTGAGCTGGAAGACTCGTTATAATAATAGAAGTACTTAATAATTAATAGGAATGGGATTTATATTATATGGACTATCAATTGAAAAATATGGACATATAATATGAGCTAAAAATCTCAAAATATGGACTAAAATCCAAAATATGGATCAAATATGGGCCGAAAACTGAAAATTTTTAACGGAAAAATATTCATTTTTAAGCAGAAAATGTTAAATTAGTTAATTTTGATGCAAAATATTACAAATAAATCAGTTTATAGTAATTTTCTTTTTCGAAAATACTTTGGATATATATGGGTGCTGGGTATTCATGATCACAGGAATATTTATGATCAAAGGAGTATTCATGATCATAGGAATATTTATATAGAGTGGAGAATTTTTCTATAGTTTAACTTTATTCTTTCATGCTTTTTAGAAACGATCGCCATTATGGAATCATTTTAATGATATTGGCGGTAATAGTGTAAAATGCAAACACTGCTCCGAACAAATTAAAAAAGGTTCTGCGTGGAATCATATCAGAAATTCACATAATGCTATTTACAAAAAAGATGTATATTTTGGCCCTATACGCAAAAGAGGGCGCCTTGATTTTTTCATCATTTTTTTCCTACATTAATATAAAATAATGGTCAGTCTTTTCTTCATCGTTCAATTCCACTCTTTTTATCTCTGGCATATTTAAATGAGAGGAAAGACTAAACACACAGGACAGAAAAAATACGAGTGTTTTGTCTGTCCGAGTCCGTCCGTGTTTTGTCTGTCTGTGTTTGTCCGTGTTTTTTCGTCTGTGTTCGTCCGTGCTTGTCTGTCCGAGTCCGTGTGTGTTTTTGTCTGTCCTCTCATTTAAATATGCCGAGTAAAAAAAGTGGAATTGAACGAGGAAGAAAAGACTGACCATTATTTTATATTAAAGTAGGAAAAAAATGATGAAAAAAATCAAGGCGCCCTCTTTTGCGTATAGGGTCTATATTTTTATATTATTGTTTAGAATAACTAATCTTATTCAATACCAGTCAAAGAAACAATTTTATATTTGTTGTTAAAATTTATTTCAGAGACAAGCTGTACTGGAACATTTTACCAAAATAAATAATGGACGAGACGAAGGAAAATTAAAATGTCATTATTGTAGACGTAAATTTGACGAGCATATTAATGCATTAACAAGCCATTGTTTAACACACGGAATTAATTTTGTCAATCCTGAAGAAAAAAATACAGAAATGAATGTGAGTAAATTAAAACTAATTTACAAAATGTTTAACAATGTTGTTGAGTTAAACGTTTTATAAGTAGCTAAATTATATATAGCTACATTATTATAAGTATATTTATAGGATTAGCCGAAACCGATTCCTGAAAATCGGGAATTCGTTCGGGATCCTGATCTACCGAAATCGAGAATTAGAATTTCATAGTAATTCCCGTTTCCGATTCCATAAATTTTTGAAAAATACGGTAATATTCTGTTTCATTGGTCCCTAGAAAGAAAAAAGATCGAAAAAAGTTCTTTTTTGATATCTTGAATGTGATAGTAGGTAACCAATGAAGCAGAAGATTACCGGAACAGCTAAGCAAATTTTTATTCGTCCAATCAATTGTGATATGTACCTGGTAAATATTTACCGATGCATATTCATCTTTTAAATTTTAAAATTTTATTGAAACTTAATATTTAATTATGAATTCATAATAGGAACATAAGTCATTAGAGGAGATATATAACGAACTTTTTGGGCCAGATCACGATGAAGGTATGTTTGTATAATTATAATAAAGGCAATATAATGTAGCAATAATGCCCCATATAAATTTTATTATTCAACGCACTACCGCCCAGCCTAACGATGCGGCCCACCAAAGAACCAGAAAATCTTGGTTCAAGAAAAACCAAGAGTCCGTCTCTTAAAATTTATTTGTAACCCACCAACCTAATATCAATATACTTCAATACCAGACACCATTGTGTCCCCTTTGATCATACAAATTCAGCCTTATCTCCTTTAATACTCCGATATACAAATAACCTCTTAAATCCCTATAAATCTTATGATATTCTCGATTTCCGTCCAAATTTTTATTTATTTGTATCCTTATATTTTCGGAAATAGTATTTATTTTTATTCCTCAGCATTTTTTTCTAATTCGACAATTAAGATAGTTAAGATTAGGGTTTCATCCATCCGAAATGAGGTGAATATTTTTTCTCCTTCCTTTCACAAGATCAAAATGGTAAATTTTTCCTTAGCATTCGATGTATGTTGATTTTGCCTTTCACAAATATCAATTCACAGTGATTGAACAATTTTGAACAAAATTATGATAGATTGTTTCAGCTTCTTGCCTATGGTATCTGTGGAGTTTTTACTGCTGCGAAGATTCCTATCTATTAATAGCTTAGCGGCTATGGGCATGTCTATCTTCGCCGCAGCAGTAAAAACTCCACGGAGACCATAGGTAAAAAGTTAAAACAACCTAACATAATCATGTCCAAAATTGTTCAATCACGGTGAATTCGCATTTGTGAAAGGTAAAATCAACATACACCAGGGATGGGACGGGTTGAGAAAAAATTCGGGTCGGGTTTCGGGTCGGGTTTTCAAAATTTTCCTCGGATCGGGTTTCGGGTCGAAAAAAAGTCCGGGTTTCGGGTCTCGGGTCGGGTTTCGGGTCGGGTCAGTTAAAAATTTGAACACGAAGCCAAATTTTTCGGAGAGGCTGGGGATATTAGTGATTTGCGGTATTAATAAGATTATATAAGAGTGATATAATGAGACAGGGATTAAATGGATTTGGATGGATTAAGAGAGTGTGGATTAAAAGAGATATCAAGGCATTTAAAAGTATCTGATGAATATATCTAATCCACTGATTTATACCTTAAACCTCCGAGACCCTCTGCAAATACCTTGAACTCCCAGTTACACCTCTAAAACCTCCGATATCTCCCCGAATCCAGCTTAATCCAAGTAAATTCCCCGATATCACCCTTCATCCACTTTTGCTTTTTCGACATCACGGCAAAATTACTTTGTATTTCGTTACAGTTTTCTTCCTTTTTTGGCGCCGCAGGCGAAAATTTTGCAAATTTCGGAAGGCCGTGAGGCCAGAATTCTTCTTTTTATGGTAAAAATCCCAACGGAAAACGTCCCCCTCGATATCACGCACACATTTTTTAATTTTCGATTTTTTTCTATCTTCCCCCAAAAGATACCTCCTTCCACCGAAGATACCTCTCACAGATACCTCCACAAACCATCTTGATCCTTAAAAATCCTGTCCAAATTCGGCATCATTTCTTAGCGCCGCAGGCGAAAATTTTGAGAATTTTGGAACACCAGTCCACTATATTTCTTCATTTTCCAGCGCCGCAGGCGAAAATTTTGATAATTTTGGAAGGCCAAAGAGCCAAAAATCTTCCCATTTTGTAATAAAATTCCAAGGAAAATGTCGGGTTTCGGGTCGGGTTTTCGAAAATTTCTCGGGTCGGGTTTCGG